CAGCGCCGCGCTCTCTCCTAGCGCTCAGTCCGCGGGCCGCCCTGCTCTCACCCGGCTCCGGCCTGCCCCGGGACCCGACCCACCCGCCCCGCTCGCCGCCCGGGAAGATGCGGCTGCTCCCGGAATGGCTTCTCTTGCTCTTTGGCCCGTGGCTCCTGAGGAAGGTAAGAGCAGCAGGGCTGCAGCGCGAGCGCGGGGGTCTGGGATGCAAAGGTCCCAGAGTGCGAGGGGCTCCGTGCGCCCACCCCGCCCCCAGCCCTGAGCGTCCCAACTTTGCGCGGCGTGGAGGACGCGGACAGACAGACTCCCACATCCAGGACAGGCGCTCTCCCAGTGCAAGTTGGCTGAGGGTCGGGGAGTGGGGCAAGGGTGGAGGCCCGACTCGGATCTGGCCTCAGGCGCGGCGGGGGAGGGGACTAAGCCCGACACGCGAGTGCGCCAGACAGAGCGGGAGTGCGAGACAGACAGACAAGCCAGCAGGGTGTCAGCCTTGCCGCCTTTCCGCGCCAGCCTCGCTCACCTCCCTCGCTGTCTGTCCTTCCACCCCTCCACTAGCGCCTTCCCATTTCTCTTCTCTGCACTTGTCACCATGCCAGGTGGGCACTGTGTTCCGAGCATACACGGCCCCAAAACACGCGCGCACACATGGACGCTCACAGATACTGCCGAACTTGGCTACAGTCTCCCATCATATTTCCCGCGGAGACACCATCTCCCCTGCACAATCTCACAGACACACCCCTCTCTGGTGCCGGCTGATAGGGGTGGGGGCTGTCTGGAAGGGGAGTCTCTCTTCCCGTCCCCTCCACACACACACCCCTCCCTAGGCTGCCTTTTCCCCTGAGGCTCTGGGGCGAGGACCCAGAGGCTAAGGGGGCCCAGACTTGATCTGCCTCCCTCCTGACTTGGAGGCTTCAACTCATGTACACTGTGTGCTCATCTGTGCTGGTGTGAAGTGTGTGAGGCAGCGTGTGCACCTGTGTGCATGCGTGTGTGTGGAGGGGCAGTCAGACTTGGGTGTCTCCGTGCTGGGGACCAGAGTGCATGTGTTTGCTGGTATGGTGTGTGGTGTTTATTGGCTTTGAAGGAGTGAGTGCAAGTGCCTGTTTCACAGTGCAGCCATCTGTGTCCCGCTGTGTGTCCAACACTGGGGACCTAGGCTCTGACCCCTGTCTCCTTCAATCAGCAACCCTGCCCATGACTTTTCTGTTTCCTGCACCCCGACTGTAACCTAGCTAGTTTGGGGGCAGGCAGGTGGTTTCCTAAAACCCTACTCCTTCCACCCAATCCCCAGCCCCTGCAGAGTCTGGAAGGGGTATAGTTCTCCTTCAACACTTGAACCTCCACCTGCTCAGCCAAATTGCGCTCAGCAGCTCCAGCAGGGCAGGGGCTGCCCAGTGAAGCTGGCGATTGAGTTCCCTGATTCTCCCAAACCTGTCTGGTGACCTTGAGGGGCTGGAAGGTGGGCAGAGGAGACCCCCCTACAGAAACTGCTTCCATTAGCTAGAGCTTCTTTTGGACTTGCTGCCCAGCTCTGTCCTTAGAACACTGCAGTGGGGGTGGGGGAGGTCTGTGCCCCACAAACCACTGTGTGTGGAGGTCTGGCAGAGAGGATGGGAGGGATGGTACTCCCTCCACCCCTCCTTCCTACTTCCTCCCGCTCTCCCCTTCACTCTCCCCATCACATAAACTCCCCTGTGGACAGATCTGGTTTAATTTCCTTTGCCCCCTGAAGGGGAATGAAACATCTGGTGGAGACTTGAGGGAGAGTAAGCACGAGGACGTGAGCAATGGGGATCTAGCTGAGTGTATGTGAGCTGCAGCTGTGGGCCTCCGTGTTGGGAGTCAGTGTGTATGGGGGGGGGTATCTTCCATTTAGTCCAGCTTGTGTGTTTGTGAGAATCTGTGTTTAGTTGTGTGTACAGACTGTGGGTGTGAGAATATAACTGAGGGTGGGGGTATTTATGTAGAAAAATATTTGTGTCTGAGTATCTATGTGCACTTGTGAGTATGTCATGTGCAAATGTGTGTACCCCAAGGGGGGTCTCCAGTGCATCTGTGTGCTGGGGCCCATGTGTTGTCTGTATGAGTCTCCAGGGTTTGTGAGTGTGTATCTGCATGCTATGGTTTTGAGTGCATTTGATTGTGGGCACAGGATTGCAAGCCTCAGGATGCGTTTGTGTATCTGAGTGTGGCCTATGTATGTGTGCACTCAGGGCTGTGACACTGCCGGGGCTGGCAGCTGGTTGACACTGGGTAAGAGGCTGATGGGGAACAGTTTACAAGACAGCTCTTTGGGAAACCCTAACTGTCCATCCATGCTAACAACCCTGCCTTCTCCCACCCTGTTCACTTGACCCTCCTCCTGGAGCTCATTCTCCTTTCTTTTTGCTCAGGGCTCCCGGTCACCTCTCAGGGCCTGGGACTCATGCCTTCCGCTGGCCCTGGGGCCCTGCCCTCTGGGCCAGGCCTTCTTCAGTATCTTTCTAATACTGTCTGGTCTCTGACTCCTTTTCTCTCACTCTTTCTCTCTGTGTCTTCCCCACCCCTTGCCAAAGCTGCTGCCTACTGGGAGAAGCAGCAGGCAATCAATAGTCACTAATCACTAATTACTAATTAGCTGGGGGAGGGCAGGGGTGGGACCCTGTGGGACCTTCCAGCTCTATCACGCCTCGGGGAAGGATTAAGCCAGAGCGTCTCCAGCCTCTGGAGCCGGCTGGACCTAGCCATGTCTAGCCACCCCCTCCCATCACCACCTCCTGTACCCCCTTCTAGCCCCCCAGCTAATCTCTGGCTGGGCCACTTAGGCACGGTGCAGCCTGGACTAGGGCCTGGAGCTGTTGTTGGGGATTTGGGGGTAATTAGGGCCGCAGCTGGGCTAGGGGCACAGGAGAGGGGGGGCAGCGCTGTGACCGCTCCCTTGGGCCCAAGCCTGCGAGTGTGGGAGGGGTAGCCGCTGGAAAGAACCTTGAGGGTCTCCGTGGGGCTGGGAGAGGAGCTGGAGATCCAGGACAGGGTGACTGGAGAAGCTGTGAAGTAATTAGGGGACAGAAACAAGGTAAAGAAGGGTCACTAGGGTCAGAGTCAGAGTCATTGGGAAGGGGAGAGATAAATGTTGAAAGAGACCAGGTAAGTGGAGGGGCATTGCTGGGTCAGAGATGAAGTCATTGGCAAGGAGATGGAGAACTTTGGACCGAGCCTCCCAACTCCGCGTGGGCTCGGTCGTGTGGTAACAGAGAGAGGGCAGGGTCGTGTGGGAGGGGTCCCAGGGCTCAGGCATTGCCCAGCACAGTGGGGAGTCGCGGGGCGTGGAGTGGGGAGCAGGGAGCTCTGCCTTGAGTGTTGGAAATTGGCGAGTCTCCCCCTCTCCCTCGCCTGCCCCTCCTCCACCTCCACCCCGCCCACTCCCCCTCCGGCTCCGGCTTCGGGAAATTACATCGCAGCTCCGCGGCTCCCACCCCCCCTTCACCGCGCCCTGGAGCCCGCGCCTTTATAGGCACATTTATTGCAATAATAAAGTGAGGCGCGGGGCGGGGGGCGGGGGGCGCCGTTCCCGTGGGGACCGCGCCGGCTCTAGGAAGCAGGGAAATAAAATAAAATAAAATAAAATCAAAATTCAGATAACGGTGAGCCTTGCACTGCAGGCCGAGAGCAGGCGGGCAGGCGGGGCTGAGGGGGAGGGGTGCCCGGCCCAAGGGCAGAGCCGGCCCCACCAGCGGTCCCCACCCCCTCTCGCTATAGTAAGGTCTGGATGGAGGTATCTGCGCCTCCACCTGCCTGGACCCCTCGCATAGCCCAATCCTGCTCTTCTGCCTTTTCCTCTCACTTGTCTTCCATACCTGTCCTCTGCTCCCGTCCCTTTCTCCCACCTCCTTCCTTATCCTTGATTTCCCATTCCAGTCCCTAGTCACATTCCCCATCCCCATCCCCTGGGTCTCTGCATCCCTCAGTATCTCTGTTTCTGCCCAACAACCATTTCCCATTCCCCATTTCTGTTCCCACCCGCGTCCAATTCCCATCCCCATCTCTCCGTCTCTGTCCCCTTCTCATTCCTGCCCATTCCCAATGCCCATCCCTCATCCACCATCCCTGTCCTCCCCCATCCTCACTTTGGTTCCCATTCCATTCTGTCCCCTCGTCATTTCCCTGGTCCCTACCCATCAGCATCCCCGTCTCTGCCCATGCCTGTCCACCTGATTTCCTCTTCATCCCCGTTCCTACCCTTGTTCCATCCTCATCTCTGCACCCAATACCTGTGCCTTCCAGATTCAGATTTGCACTCATAGTCCCCCTCCATATCTGTTCCAGTCTTCACCCCAGCCTGTCCTGTCCACCCCTCCTCTGACTTCACCCCCATCTCAATCCCTGGTTCTCAGCCAGACCCCAGCTACTCCACCCCGCGCTGACTGCAGTGCCCCCTCCTCTTTCTAGGTGCAAGAAGAGCTCAGTAGCTCTTCCCTCCTCATCCCCAACCTGGGCAGGAAGCACTGTTTCTTCCCCAACCACAGGGTGCTGTCCCTTCCCCCGTCAGAATCCTGAGCGGCCCCGCCTGACCCAGGCAGCAGGAGAGAAGCGACGGACCAGTCTGGAGGCCCGGGGGAGGTGCGCCCTGCAATGCGGCTGGGGTCCGACAGTCTGATCCTACACCCCCCACCCCGCGTCCCATTCCCAGCGGTCCCATCCCAAGAGAGCCCCCTCTCCCAGTGGAGTTTGTTCAGCAGCAAGAGGCAGCCTCAACTCCCCTCCAGTGCGTGGGCTAGCTGCCTTGGGGGCAAAGCGCTCCTGGCTTGGCTCCCGCCCCGCATGGGCCTGGAGGCGCGCCTGGTGAAGCTCACCCCTCCCCGCGCCCCCCCTCCCCGTCTGCCACAGAACACCTC